TTGATCTAGTTTCTTTCTTTTATTTGTTTAGATATATTTTGGATTTATTTTTTGAACTTTAATTTTGAATAAGGCTATACCTTTTGTATGATACTCTTCTAAATATTTAATTGAGTTGTATTTTTTTTGTATAATACCTTTATAAATATTGAATATGCACTAGATGTTAACATATACATTAGATTTGTCTTTTGAACTCTAATCCTTTATGTCTTTTCTTTTAATTATGGTTAATGCCTTTACAAAATTATGAATTCTAAATATTGTATACGTATTATATATTTGACATAGTTCCACCCATGTAATCATCTTTCCCTTTTCTTTTCATGAGATTGGAATGAGAATTCAATTATGAGATGAAAATTAGCGTTTAATAGAGTTTTCTAACTAAATAGTTAATTAATATTAAAATTTTTTAAAGAAAAATAAAGAAAATATGAAAATTTTTTATTTTTAATTTTAATTTTTTAAAAAGTTAGATTCACCTAACTCAATTCAAGACCTGTATGAATGTGTCATCAACCCACCCAGCCCTTTAACTCGACATTTGAAAGGACTCAATCCAAAAACCTTGAAATCCAAAATGACCCAATTTAAACCCATCTAATCTAACTTGTTTGTCATATTTATTGTAGAGTCTTAAACATGTCTTTTAATTGAAAACTTTCATTGATATTCCTACAACGAACCACTAGAATTATTGAGTACACTGCCAGTCCGCATGAATTAGTTTTTGTTGCCCAAAATTTCATTTTACCAATATATATATATATATATATAGAACAACAATAAATTTTATTTGTTAGGGAGTATAATGGGTATTCAGATCCAACATACATGATACTAACACAAATAGAGAATAGAAAGAGATATTGTAAGAAAAAAGGGTGAGAGATATAATTGTGAAAAAGATTACAACATTCTTATGTATCTTCGGGTACATTTAGATATGTTCATTCCTAATTTAAGCTCAAGCAAAAAAACTAGCAGCTCTTCCAATTATTTTACCAATAATTTTAGTGACATAATTAGAATTGGATCCCGTGTTGCTAGTAATGGGCAGTATTGGTCGGTTTAAGTACCGAATCAAGATGTGAATATGGTGTGCAGCAAATAGGAGCCACACAAGTAACCAGAACAAGGCGATATATGGTTTGTTAATTGAAATAAGAGAAATTATAGCCAATAAACCTGTTAATAAGGTGATTATTTGCAGGAATTTACTCCAGTGGTGGTGTGTGCCTAAGATGAAACGATCTTCTCCCTCTCTGAGGCCAACAATAGCAATTAGTGATACAGCACACAGCGTCATCATTACACAATATATGGACAACATAATTGAATGCCAGATCGGAGTGAGTACAGAAAGTTGTATAAAAGGAGTGAAGGCTGTTACTAGCAAACTCAATATAGCTGTTATTCCAATAATAGTGTCGCTCAACCTGTAAAACAAAGCCACAAGGGATAGTTTATTAGGAAAAAAATAATAAACAAACAAGAATATGATGAGAAGATAAAAATAATAATAATAATAATAATGATAATAATAATAAAAACAAATGTGAACAACCTGAACATTTGGCAACAGGAGGATGACCTTGTGGAAGGAGAGGAGTAAGAAAAATAAATAATTCTTCGTCGATCCAGGCAAACCCAGACAGGAATTTTTTTTTTTTAAAACAATTCTTCCTTTCTCAAGCCGATGAAGCCCTAAGTTGATGATGAGTACAAGTAATATGAGGGAATGATGGTCCTGGTTATATATATTTATAAGAAAGGCAAAAACTCCTCTTAAGCCCCTTAACTTTTTCGCTAGTACGTAAATTACACGCTTCTAAATTAAAAAGGTACTAAATAAGCCCTCCAACCTCACGTTTGGTGCGAATAAGCCCCTCCGCTTACTGACTTCGTGACGCCGTTTGTTATTGGC